AAACAGCACAAAATAACGAGGAGAATCTCTCCGAAAGGTTTTTATCTGCTAAGAATCTCACGGGAAACCGCCATGAGGGAATGAAAAATTAAAAGATTTACATCAGGAATTCTGTTTGAAAATAATTAAATATTAAATAATAAAACAGAAAGGAACATGGAAAAAAGCTAGTATTAGGAAATGCTGCAAATCCCTCCTTAGCTTATCCAGTTATATCTAAATTCATATATTAATAAATATATCCCATTCTTACAAAAAAACAAACACAGCCAGCATGTAACATTTAATCATTTACAAGCGACACTAGTTGCTATTTCCCAAAAACTAAGAAAAACTTCCAGATAATTCCTTATGATTCAATCAATTTGTAGCCATTGAAGCAGTTTTAACTATCTTGTAGTTGAAACCGAAGTGAAAGAACCTGCGGCAATCTGATAATCTCCAATGGCTACTACTACTTAACTCTTATTTTGAGTTATCTTTTAAGGATGTTTCTTAAATTTTGGTCATCTTAGAGCCCAGATTCTTGTAGAAATTTTCTTAAAATAAATGCACGAATTTGTTAACCGCAACAATGCAAATACAAAAACGTTAAACAAACAACTAGACATCAATTATCAAATTTCGTAGTGCTCCATTCACAAAAATTATCGTCTTCCTGAAAATCCCCGAAAAACCCATATAAACCAAAAAGCTTTACAAATTATAGGAAAATAGAATAGTGAATTGATTGTAATTTAAGTATCCGTCATTTTCCAAGGCAAAAAATTTCACAAAGGATATTGCTATTCAGCCCGTGGAATGTGGAACGGGTTCTAGATAAGTAGCATGGCGAAAAACAGCACTTGCTTTAGACTAGATTTGTAGTTTTGCTCAAAGACACACAATATTAAATTGTAAATCTGTAAAATCTTGTATTACAGGATGGTAGTATAGCAGAAAAAATATTGCGTGTAAAGAATTTAAAAAGAGAAAAATTTGTAAAGTGTTCATCACCATGCCATCATGAAGGAACATTCTAACTTTGTGCGAGTTTCAATAAAACTCGTTTGAAACTGTGCGACTTTGAAACAATTAAATCTTAACTTACCTTTCCATCGAATACTTCCGAGCTTACATCTGCAAGCAGGACATAATATCTAGATGCAATAAAAAAGGTTTATCCAAACATTTTAACGATCGATAATCAAAACCTTCAAGGTAAATATCCCTATATAATGCTTTGTATAGGTGATCTTTCAGGCTAGTATTAAAGCTAGTGATGCTGACCAACGAACTTTCAAGAAAAAATCACACGTGTTTTAACAATATCACCATCTTCACTTCACTTTACAGTCATTTACTACCCTCAACTACCTTTAAACTGAATGCACTTCAACTATGATGTGAGGAATTAATGTTATTTGGTAACTTTTTCTGCTGTGAGCCACACGATAGGATACGATATACCATATAATATCATGTGTTTCTAATTAAAGGTAATGTGTCCATATAAAAGGACTGCGTATACCCAACTTGTCAAGCCACCCATCAAAACAACGGTTTGCGATTGGTTAGTATTCTTGCGAGACAAAACTGCTCACGTGAAAAGCTAACCTCACAGCAGGATAGATAAACATAACGATCGTAGTAGCTGGGGCGATGACATGAAAAATCACATGTTTCCAAAAACCCCCGCAGAGTCGCTTGCTTTAGCTGGACACATTACCTTTAAATAGCATTCATGATTTGTACAACGTGCCAGAAATAAAAAATTGTCACAGTAAAAGAAATGATGGCAACAAAACAAGCAAGATTGTATTATACAACACAGCCCAATTCTTTAGTTTTCAATCTTCCAACAAGCAAAATAATATCAGTTAGTTATATTGAAACTCGCTTAAATTTGGCAGTTTATAAATATATAGCAGATTATGGAACAAAACCTAATAATCAACACAATTATTATATATTTGCTAAAAATGTCTGCCTCACAAAAGACAATAGCACTTGGTCATTCTTGTCAACTGTTATTATAAAAAGTGTTGAAATGCCCACCTTTGAATCCTGTTCAGAGACAGAATTTTGTAGCATCCAGGGCTCAGGACTTTGAAGAAAGATTGAAGCACTAGAGCTCAAACAAGAGTGGGAAACTGTGCATTCACTAAATAATGAAAATCTGCAAAAAATATGCACATCATTAATAAAAATCTGAAAACTGGAAAAAAGTAAAATGAACATTGATAACAAACCAATATACTCAAATGGCGATTTTATTGAGCCTGAGAGTTTTAGCTCAAGAAACTAAGAAAGCCAAAAGCATGTTGTTGCATAAAGATTTATATAAATCTTGATTAACATAATTGTAAAAATATGAGCTTTAAAAAAGAGTCAGGATATTGATGGCTAAAATAGAAAGTAATGGTTCAGTGGTGATTTGAAACTGAATTAGAATTAAGCAGCTTTACCTGCACTTTCTACAGGTTGCAGATACCATTGTATTATTTCCTCTAATTGCCGCTTTCAAAGAAACTTTTAAATCCTCTAGTCTTTCTATAAAGAAAAAAATTTACCTTGTAAGACAAGTCTTATGTGACTGATATTAAGAGTTTTCCTCAACAGCAAAGAATAAATTGTGATAATTGACAAAATCTCCTATCTGCTGTAACTTGTTACCATTTCCTATCTTGTATTCACATTGCAAGTTCGATAATTCAACTTGAAAATTTAAGACTGGATAATGACAGAGGTGTGACTATTATAAAGATTGGAATATTTTTTAATGTTCTTCGAGAAAAGTGGTTGAAACTTTCAAGACAGAAGTAAAAAACAAGATTTAAAAATTTATAATCTAAATTTGGTACAGAGATATCTATAAAAACAAAATAGATGAAAAATCAAGTCAATATATCAATGTATCTTGAAAGTATGTTTTTCTAGTTTCTAGCATATTTGGCAGGAGGTTGCATGATAATAAAGGTTGAAAACTCCCACCGGCAAGATTCCTAGAGAGGCTGGATTAGTTTACAAAGCATAAAAGGAAAGGATTATAAGGGAGGTAGGATATTATAATTGGTGGGAATACAAGATTATGTAACATAGGATGCAGTATCTAGCAGTGTTCATTTTTGGCAAAGCTTTTTTTGCATTTTAATATTGTTTATTTCATGATAACAAAAAAACTTCTTAAATTACCAACCACCTATAAAAATAATCATGACACCACCTTTGATACAGTGCAGTGGCGGAAATTCAGGCTTTCATTTGGGGGGGGGCCCAGACCTACGTTTTCCCGACAAGACAACATCTTGGATCATGTTTAAATTTAAAGGAACTGCACATTTTGATAAAAATAGATGATTTTTTGATAGGACCCTTTAGAAATCTTTGCTGACAACGCCATAATTAAGTAGCAAGAAGAACAATCCATCTATGATTTTTCATATCAAGGTCAATATCTCATCTAAGACAATTGATGACAAAAGAGGGCGACCGATTTGACTTTTGACAAGTCATATACGCTCATTTTAAGCATTCTATATTGCTTTCATCAGTGGCAAATACGTTTGAAAACAACTTTTATTCGGAAGAATCCGATGGAAATTTTGGCTAATTTTCACGGAATTGAAACGATTCGCAAGCAGTTTTGACTTTGGTCATATATTGTTTGATTGATTATTTAATACTTACTAGTATTTTATCAGCTATGCTATGTTCATATTTTGCAAAAAGGGCACAAAGAGGTTATAGAGGCCCCTGGGGTAAAAAAGGGGAAAGGCAAATCACCTGCAAGCAAAGCGAGCAGAAACTTTAGCAATTACACCCCTTAAATTAGCTTTAAATTAGCTTTTCAGAATGATTTTTTGGAGCAATTTTGACAGGTTAAACGGTTGTCAATTATGCAATGAAAGCCCAAATTTTCAGAGCTCTGAACTTTCCGAAACCCCCCCCCCTTCCCAAACCCCCATAATTTTCGCCATTGATACAGTGTCATTTCATTTTCCTGAATTATGCAATGTCACCGTGAATAGAGGCCATTTGTTTTAAAAATAAACTTACGGTCATAGCCATTCAATCGCTGCAAAGCACGTTTGAATTCTCTGTATTTGTCAAAAGTATTACCTAGCTCCTCAAACAGCCTGAGCTGCTTCTCAAAATTTGGATTTGGACTGAAAATAAATGAAAATAACATCAGGGCAGAAAAAAAGTAACATATCTATTCAAAACAAAAACATTGAAAAAATCAGGGTGCACTACAACAAATTTAAAAAAAATAACAAAAAAACTAGAAACAACATCTTCAGGGAACAGTTTGATATTTTTTAGTGCAACAATTTGTTGATCACCTGTCAAACGTGAATTGATAACTTAATAAAAAATAGTTCCAGAAGTCTTAGAGTTTCCATATTGTAGGCGAGTGGACAATGATCCATACTTCTCCACAGGAAACATTTTCCATAATTCCCATCCAAAGGATGCAAGAGAAGTTAATAATAAATTGTGGTTCAATTGTGGAACCAATGTGAAGTTTTTTAACTACTACAATCTTCTTGAAAGATAGAATTAGAATGCTAATTTCAAAATGCAAAATTTTGGAAACTTTACTAACTCAGTTCATCAGAGACATGTTTGGTAAATAAGAGAAAGAACTACCAGATAAGAAAAAAAGAAATAGTAATAACTGATTTCAAGTTTAAAGTCATTTCCAAGATGATAGCTTTTATTTTCTTGCTCAGACTGGGGATGAAAGCAGACCATAGGATTAATTTTTGGGGAGGAAATAGACAAATCTAAAAATTTATTTTTTTGAAAGAAATAAGCTTTCCCAACTTTAGCAAAAAAGTATTTGACTCTAACTTTAAAAAAGCATATACAAAGGATAAGAACTTGAATAAAAATTACCAAATATCTGGTTTTATTGATTTGACATATTGAAATGCTTCATCATATTTTAAGCCTAAAGACTGCATCAAGTAGCAAATTACCACAGTTGCACTTCTTGACATTCCTGCAAAACTAGAGAAAGAAATTTATCAAAAGCAACCAAATTCCAAATAAGTGCACATTTTATTCAGTTCAATCAAAAATATATTCCTGGCAAAATAAAAATGGTTAAGATTAAATGACACTGTGTTTGTTAAAAGACAGTACAAAAGTTCAGAAACAAAACTTTGGAATTTCTATCTTGGAAGAATGTAACATGTTCTTATCAAAAGACATCTAGAAACAAAGTGTAACAGCTTTACAAAATGTCAAGACAGACAATTAGTTGTAATAAATGCATAAAGAGGCATGTTTGCCTCCTCAGAAGAGCAAATATGATCTTACCAATGAACAACTGAAACAATTGTTGGTGCTCTTTTGTGCAATATGCTCACAGCATCTTTCAGTGAATCAAAAACTTCAAAGTCAAGGGTATCAAGCATAGACACATGATCAATTTCTACACCAGTGCTTTTCAATTGACTCTGAAGATCTAATGGAAGGGGTGAACTGTCAACAGTCAAAATGTGATTGATTTCATGTTGCAATATTGAATTAATATCGCTAACATCTGCCAAGGATGCCAGGTAGAGTTTATCATTGATTGCATGCATCTGTCTGCTTTACTTTGTTTCATCTAAAATGAGAAAATGTAGTACATGGCCTTTAGGTAATTATACTACCATGGAGTGGTATTTTAAGTAGTTTCTACCTCTTAGGGGGTATTTTTAATTGACTGTTGAGTTGAGATTGCTATTTATTACAATAAATGTTCATGTTTGTCTATGAACTATTGAAATGCTGTTGTCTTGTTAATTTTGAAAGAAGAACTATTTCATTTTTTAAGTTGCAGGTTTCCTTAGATTCATAAGGACATTTTGAACAATGTTTACCTGCTGATTGTTTGGAAAAAAGAGTTTCTTGAATATCAGCAGATAACTGGTACCGAAAATCCCTTGGTCACAGGAACTTATTTTCACAGAACATATTTGCTTGCCTAGTAGTTAGTTATCCCTGAAAGCTAGGCTAGCAGTTAGTATTGTGACATCAAAACTGTAAATTAAAATCAATGCAGAAAGCGTCAAATACACAGATGCAAGTTAATCGGTGGGTTTCAGCCAAAAGCAGGTACCACGGAAGTGGGGGGCTTTAGCCCCCCCCCCAATACTTTCAAAAATGTACATACAACCATACAGAAAATTGCTTTGCTCTTGGTTTTTAACCTGTTTAGCTCCGCCCCCCCTCTCCCCAAAAAAACGATTTAGCCCCCTAAATCTGTAATGTGCTCCACGGTCCTTGGCCACAAGAATTATCGACTTCATACATCATAACCATCACCATCATGATTCATGAATGTATCATAATATCATCAAAATGGTGTTGGATCTTCTTTCTTACGGATCTTTTTTCAAGTTAAATTGTTGCATTGTTTTCAAATCCAAAATTATTTGAATAGCTCTTGACACCATACAAACACTTATTACCTCCACATTGTGATTTTCCTTGAATATAATGAGCCATTTCAATCTCTTTTTCTTGAGACATTGTATCAAGTGTTAAGCCGCCATTTTTTACAAAACACCAATTAAAGAGAGAGGCAAGGACATTGGAGAGAGGCTGAAGTGACACAACACAACAGCAAAGAATTATCAGCTGATACCTCAATGATATATTTAATATGGCTGGCTTTCAAAAAAACGGGGAAATAGCTAAAAATGGGAAATCGCGTGAAGCAAATGGGTTAGATAATCACGATGATTTAGAGGATGACGAAGGTAAGTTTATTTCAGACATATTTGTTTAGCTATTTTAGGCACTGATGCAATAAAGTCGCGTTTCGCCGCCCTTATAAGGGTTTTGCCACCCTTATATCAAATATTATGGGCTTGTACTAAATAAATGAACCTTTATTTCTCAACAGACGGTCTTTTGCAGGAAGAAAATTGTTTTGCAAAATACTTGTACATGATGAATTTGCCTCAAAAATCTGGTTCTACATATAGCATTTTTTTTTGAAGCAGCAAGGAAAGAACCAAAAGTATCTCTAATAATAACAAACTGAGCTATTAATAATTACGTTAATAATGCTATAGATATAGGTACATAAGAAACCAACGGTTAAAGATTGTTAAAGCAATTGTGAAGACTTATATTCGCATCCCTGTGGAAATAAATCTTTATAATAAATCACCAAATCAGCTGGTAGCTTGATATAGGCATGGTTAAGCAATGTTTAGTAAAGGCTTTTAAGTTGTGTGAATTGGCATGCAAAGAAGCATGATACTAAAGCATGTACACCTCTCAGATTGGAATCTTTGTTTCTTGAGCAGACAAATTCTTTTTGAATTTATAAAACTGTGCACTTAGAATCAGGCACATTCAGAAATTTTCTGTCTGTGCACAGAACAGAGTAACAGAACCAGTAAATTGATACCACTTTATAAGAAACTTAAGCGCACATCATTTGATCTTACCCAAACTTCATTACAATGATCATGTTCTAATTGATACTGACATTATCTCATGTCAATGGTTATGGGCAATGGTTATGGAGGTCTTTTTACACTAAATGGAACTACACATCTATTGTCAAATTTGAGGTATTTTACATAGCCAATATGCAAAAGCAAACAGATAGGAAATTTTCATGCACATCCAAACTATTGCAGGCACACAATAACGTTTCTAGTGCACACCTAATGGCATAACTTTTCTATGAAAGCCTGGTATACCACACAGAAAGAAATTTGTACATTAACTTTTCTTTTTCATTTGATATAACAGTTTTTCTTTCATCCAAAACCCTCCAAAGCTGAATTTACAATTCATCGCTTTTACAGACTATGAATCAATAAACAAAGAGCTAGACAGTATTAGTTCCTGCCTTGATGCACTAGAAAACCAAAGCACAAATTTACATGAAAAAGTAAAAGAATTTTTGGAAAGTGTCAAAGACAAAAATGGCACCAGAGAGGAAAACAAAGGTGGTCTTGAATCAAATAGTGGAAGCTAAAAGCAATCATGATGGCTTGAATAATGGTAACGAAAAAAGGACTTGACAAAAATTATTAAAAATTTATCTTTCTATTCTCATCAAATTTTATATTTTGTTTTGTATATAAAATATTAATGAAATGATAAATATGCATTAATATCTGCCTCAAACCTGTAGTGTGATTTTTGCTATTGTGATCAGAGCAAGATTTATGCAGTATAATAGGAGGGGCTTCTCTTTTGCTATTCTTGAAGTGTATTGATCAGAGGATTTACTTTGTACAAACTATCTTGCTTAGCACATCTAAGTTTGACTGAATAAAATTGTCTGGAGATCTGTGTGGAGTTTGACTGAATAAAATAGCTATTTCTAGAGTTTCCTCTTGCTGCCATGCACTTTTACAGCCTGTGGCTTTGATTTTGCTTTTATTGCAGATACTACTCAATAATCCAACTAAAGAACTGTGCTGTTTTGTTTACATTTACTTTTTAAGCCTATTTCAGTGCAGCCAGTCTCGGTTGTTTTTGTTATGCTGGTCAAAACATTGAATCATTGAATTTTCAAAGCAATTATCATTCAGGATGGCTTTCATAGTGGAAGCAAGCATAGATGAATCAAGACAAAAAACCAAAGTTTATGTTTGAATACCCAGTTTAACCGCTTTTTATTGTTAACATTAAACATTAAATTTGGTTTGTCAAGGTATCGAAACAAAAATCTAATTGAGAAAATGTCATTTTCTATTAATAATCTTTATTGAGCAAGATGAACCGGTAATTTTTCAACAGAACTAGCAAGTTTACGGTCCTTAAAGTTATTCTAACCTTAATCCCATTCTTAAGTGTGATTGACAATAACAAAAAAATTTCTTGATCTGCACCTGCTAATCACAAGATAGAATAAGATTTTCTGGTAAGTTTTCAGACAGTTTTTTATGTTATTCACCTTCCGAGTAGGGTTTGTCAACTTTTTGTGACATTTTTCCAGGTCTGGTTTTTCCATTGTAGCTTTTTCTATGTGACAATAAAACATCAAATGTGGCCTTAAGTTGTACTGCAGAATGAACTCTTTCACACACACAAACTAAAAATGCTTTAAGAAAATATAGACAGCAGTCAAAAAAAAAGAAACACTCTTCATTCATATCTTATTAGAAACAAAAATAATTTCAATACTAAAATTTAGGCATCTGCCTCTTTTAGATTCTCTATTGCATGTTTGATTTTCTCAACCTCTGTAGTTAACTGTGTTGCCTGTAAAATTAAGAAAACAAGGCGTTATTGATTTTTGACAGTTTGTGGTGATATTCTGTAAAGTGCTAGAAGCAATGTGAAAACCATTTTATGACTTTAATCCAAAAAGTAACAATTGTTTAACATTAACTGCAAGTGAATAAGCATTGCTTTTACCATTGCTATTTCTTTGAGTAGCACACTTCAAAACCTATAAATGTTGCATCCTGCTAATGCCAAAGTTTTAAGACAAGATTTTATAAAAAAATTATTATTGAACTTCAAATACCAATACCTTTTCGCAGTTCTGCTGTCTTACAGAATCTGGGACCTGTAACAAAAATTCAGTTTGTATTCAATTGATAGTGACTAAATATGTAAACAACAAATTACACAGCCAGGGTCCTCTGTACAATTTTTAATTCTATACACTCTTGGGGCATTAAGGGACATCTCTTATATCAGATTCTGCATTATATTTCACTTCAATTAAATCAGTTTTCATGTTGTGAACCAATAAGTGATGACATTTTGAATCCTGAAATGCAGATGGGGGGTTTATCAACAAGCAAATGTAGGCTAGGGAAATGTCCATGATGATCAAGACATTAATTAGTGAAGATAATGCAAGGACAATTTTACAAACGAGACAAAAGAATGAAATAAAAAATGTCTTACTTCTTCTAGTTTTGGCAATTGAAGTTTTGGATCTTGTTTCAGAAATATCTCTGTTTTAATAAAACTTAATGAATCAACCAACCTTCTTTTCATAGTCGTCTATCTTCATGGCCTCCATCAATTTTGACAATTGGGCTTCTGTCTTTTCTAACTTATTATCTAATTTAGAGATTTCTTTTCCAATATCAACCAGCCCCTTAAAAAAATTTGTATAAAAATTCTAAAAGAATTATTCTATAAAACATGAGCTGATCAAAACTAGATAATTTAATTTAAAAATATGACTAAGTGCACAACTAGGCCTGAGACAAAATAAAAAATGCAGATGCAGCTGTTCTATCCCCCTTGAATTGGTGTAAAGCACTTTTAAGTAAAGATCACTTTTGAGGATTCACTTAAATTCAACCTTCTGGGCAAAAAATTATATTTTAATATTTCACAAACATCTCTTAGAGCTTTTTGATACAGATAAACTAGTCAAATCCCACAGTAATTCCATTCATTTGAGTTACCGTCAGAACTATCTTTGCACGAATAATGCATTTAAAATTGAATAATGCATGTTTAAGGCAAAATGTCTCTGAAAAAAACAAGAAAATTTAAGTGTCTAGAAAGCAAATTAGAAGGTAACCTTTATATGCAAGTGAACTTCACACTTTTCACCAACTAAAGCAACAGCACATCCCTTTGGTATAGGATCACCCATGTTCAAGATGTGCACACTGCAATAAATTAGACACCATCAATGATAAATTCATTACTATTTTTAAAAAACTCTTAACAGTTATGTTGAAAGGCTTATATATAAATATTTTATACAAATATTAGGTGTTATTGTAAGGAAGTTGTCACAAGTTGGCATTTAACTTCTGTCTACTAATCGCAAATTTGGCAAATGGTACAGGATAAACACATTTCTGAAGGAAAAAGATATTAAATAGAATAGACAAGCTATAGTCACTGTTAGCTGAAAATTGTTGTGTCTGGGCTGAAAGACTATATCTTTTATGTCAAAGGAAAGGCAACCTTCACAAATCTACCATGACAGAAAAATGAA